TGTGGTTACAATGTGACAAAATGAAAAATTTTGCAAGACAATGTATATAGAGTGTCTTGGTACATAATTCTTTGTAAACCTGAGGTGTTTTTATGTCTTCAGCTCACATGGCAATCATGGATGTCACAGCTGTTCCTCATGATGACAGATCGTTTCTGGTTCAGTGGACAGCTGAGGTGACTTCAGCTCTCATTGATTATGTGGTGGAATGGAAACCTTTACTAAATCTAGATCTCAGCCACATTCGTTTTGAAATTGTGAATAAAAACCTGTCTAGTCTCATCATAACTGGTATGTCAATAAGAATTTGCTTTATATCTTTCCATAAGCAATCTCGCAATTGCACTTTCATCTCTCACTACATAAACTCAAATAGTCACTTTTGAGCAATATTCTTATTTTCTCCTTTCCTGAAGCTACCTGTAAACACTATAATTAGATTGTGACCACTGATCCACTCTGCCCTCTACACTCTCATCCATAGGCAGCTTTGAGCCCTACAGGCCCTACGGCATCTCTGTATATCCCCGGTTTAAGGATGGGATGGGGCCTCCTCAGACTGTTAATGCCTACTTGAGACAAAAGGGTAAGTCACCAAAGACAAACGGAGGATCACACAAAGAGCATGCAGAGGTGTAAGAGTCAAGTTGCCTCGACTTTAAACAAGTAGAAAGCCTTCCACATTATTCAGATTACAGGAACAGGGTGAGCTCTCTGGGAACAGATCATTTCTTATGGAATGTTGCCCTCTTGTGGAAAGAAAATGATTAATTTGCTCATTCAAATCCAGATACACTCTAAAGCAAACTGTGTCTTTCTTTTTTGAAGCTCCATCAATGGTTCCTAAAATTCAAATTAAAAAGACCTGGTGGTCAGATATAGAGATGTCATGGGATGAAATCCCTTTGCAACAAAGGAATGGATTTATTAAGAGCTACCAAGTCTTCTACTGGGAAGAGAATGGATCTGTTAAAGGTAGGTTAAAAGGTTTTAATTGTTTTGAATGTAAAATGATGTTGAAGTTTTTTAACCTTGGACATTTTTCTAGTTGAGAGTGCCAATGCAGAAGACAGGAGAGTGATCCTGAAGCACCTCAACACTGCATCTACCTATGAAGCTTTCTTGATGGTTAGCACATTTGGTGGGAGCATGAATGGATCAACAATTTATGTTAAAATGAACTCCTTTGGTTGGTACCATATTCTAATTTACCAGTTAATTTAGAATCAATGAGCAGAAAATGGATTTATCAATTAGATTTTATATCGCAACATATGATTTCTTTTTTCAAGATGCTTTGACTATTGTGATCACTGTAACTGCAACTGGAGTTGGACTGGCATTGCTGATCATTTCCATTATCTGGACCTGCTTCTCCAAACACAAAGAGTAAGCCCACCAAAAACCATATACTCCAGAGATATATATACAATGCTGTGAAGAGAATTTTGCTTTCTTACAAATTTCTTCTGTTTTTCCCTTACTTATATGTTTTTGTTCACACATAAGTTTAAATATGTTAAAATCATTTATTTTCTGGGTTATTAATGAAATTCAATTGAATTTAGTTTATTTGTATAGGTGAATTCAAATTATCTAATCTTAAGGCACTTTACAAAAAAGTAAATTCAATCAAATTCTACAGACAGATTCAAAGTCAATCCTAGCTACCAAATAATTTAGTCAAGTTCAGTTTATACGTCAAATTAATTAAAAAGGTTTTGATCTTGCAGGTTACATCAGACTACTGGCCTGCAGTATTCAGCTTTGTGGATGAGCTTTTAGGAGCAATGGACTGTCATTTACATTCTGTCATTGACTTTGGAGTAATCTCTCACACAAAGCATGCAAGTAGAGACAGTGGAAAGGAAAACTCCCCTTTAACAGGAAGAAACTTCCAGCAGAATCTGACCTCTATGACTTACTGTAGGTTTGAGAAGACTAAACCTAATAAGTGATTGGTTATTTTTGGTCAGCTGTGATTTTCACCTTACATGCTTTGTTTGCCAATTCTTATGTACTATTGTTAAATCATGAATCCTGACTTTACCTTAAGCAAAAGAGGCCTGCAGTGGTTTTGACCTTTTTCTGGGTACTTTTGTGAAATCCTGGGCAATTCTTTGATTATGTGCAATTGGAGTTGTTTGGTAGGTTAACCTCTCCTGGAATATCTTTTCAGTCAACAGGTATGACAGTGACTGATCAGTTTACTCATGATTTATGAAAGGAGGACAGTACTTTTTAAAAATAGGACTATTATTGGGTATTTTTTTTTTCCACAGGTAATCTGTATTATTTTGAAACTTGTTCAATGATTTGAAATAATTAACTGTATGAAAAAGACAAGTAGAAGAATTACATAAAGGGGAAAACACTTTTTTACTTCACTGTATGTTATATTTTTGACATGCTTTCTATTTGTTTGACCTTAAGGCTGAATGGTTACATGTGGCCAGTTGTTCCAGATCCGGCTAACAGCAGCATTAAAAGATGGTCATCAGAATCAACACAGGTAATGAACATTAACAGTTGTCAGAGATGTTAACTTAACATGATCACAACGAATACATAAGTGTAACATGAACTTCCACAATTCTAAAGTGATACTGTATATGTAGAATTATAAGCATTTTGGAATTATATTAGTTTTTCCTATAAATTAACTCTGTATGTAAATTAAATCTTTATTTGGAATAAATGGACATCAAAGGATCCATGCGAGTCTGTCAGATTAAATTATATAACAAAAAAGTCTGTAGTGATAAAAATGAAAATCAATCCAGTGTATATCTCCAGTTTTAGCTGTGTATGTGTTGTCCTTTTCTCATTAAATATATACATTCATTGTTTGCCTCTACAGTTTACCCTTCCATCCTGGGACAATGAGGAGCCAAATCCAATATGCTTGTCCCATCTCAGCTTCCTGGACCTTCCAACCAAACTTAGCAAAGAGGATGATATTTGGTTAAACAGCTCAGAGGACACCAGTGATCTTGGCGAGTCGATTTGTGGCTCACCGTTCATTCCTACATATTCTGGTTCAAACAGCGAGTCTGTTCCTTATGCGACTGTACTGTTGTCCTCTTGCAACTACCCAATACCTGATGAGCCTCATGTCTACCTGCGCTCTGAATCTTCACAACCCCTCTTGGAAACTGAAGAGTCTTTCACTCCAAAATGCTACCAGAATGTTGTAAATGATAGGATGCCAAAAGAGCAGTGTTTCTTTGGGCCCTGTGATGATGATATCCCTGAAGGAGAGGAAGGCCCAGCCATTGTTTGGGATGACTTTCCCTTTCTGCGTGCCTTGGCCATGAATGAGAGTGAAAATGACTAAAGTTGATGTGCTGGTCATTAAAGTATGCTTGTTTTGAGTGTTTTTTTGTTTGTTTGTTTTTGATTTTTGTTTTTGCTTTTTTGTAAATGAACCTCCCTAGCGTTACGCCTCTGCACCAGCATTTGAATCATGATTATTTTGTTTCTCTGCTGCTTTTTACATTTATAGAAATGCACTTTTTAAAATATAGGTTAAAATGTCAAACAATATTTTCTAAAACTATATTGTTGACTTCAAGATTCATTACATATTGTGAGAAAACATAAATACCTAATTCCCTGACTGGTTAAACTCAGCTGTACTCCAAAGAAAGTTGCTTCATGAATATACCTGATGTGAATTCTAAAGATATTACTTTGACTCTTCTGATTGGACACTGCATACTGCATTCTGCTCTCACTGTGTTCAACAGTTATGAATGAAAACATTATGAAGATCATAGAGAAATGTTTGCTTTTCTTCAAAAATAAATAAACAATATACAGTAAGAAAAACTTACTGTATATGATGCAACACCTTTCTGCAATGTGAAGGAAATATTTTATTACCTCTATACCTGTGTAAAAGAAGTGTTGTTTTTTTATAATCACATGATTTAGTGTACTACAATATATATGTGATGTGCGTGTGATGACCCATGTGAGAGGCATATTCTTATATTCTTTAGCTGCATGATCACAGTGCTGCAGTCTGCTAAATATGTAAATAAAAATGATTTGTGATTTCCATAACCTCTTTCACCTTTGCAAGTGATGAAAATTGCAATTTTTCTTTTTTTCTTTTTTTTAAATATGTATTCTACTTTATTCTTGTGTTGTAGAACAACAAATAGAACTCTCCTTTCTAATTATTTTAATCATAATTAGTTTTACTCATCCATTCATCCTTGCAAGGTGGGGCAGCAGGGAATCCAGTGGCCAGCTCCAGTGGTCATTAGGTGTGGATTAATGCATATTAGATGTTGTTATGCATATATGGTATAAAAAAAAGTTAACTAGAGCAATGTAGCACTTATGGATGACTGTAAATTAATTATTTCACTCATTTCTTGGTAAATTGTTAAAGGTACTAACCCTAAGCAATTCCTTGCTAAAGCATACACAACATTTGCATTTTGTGTGCTAAGAACCAAAAATCAATACATTTTAATAGGATATCCTGCGGCAGTGCCTCATTGCATGGAAGAAAAATGATACATATAATTTAACAAATTAGAAGCCTAACATTTAAGTCAGTCCTTGGTAAAATCACCTTTTGGTTTTTACATTCACCATGTTTACAATGGACATAAAAAAATGAAGAACATCATGAAGGAAATACAAAAAGTCACGAGGAAGGGAACAAATCAGGGCACAAAATAGATAGAATAACACAATGAAGTACTTAGTCAATTAAAAATGGAATAAAGGAGAAAAAACACTTTGCCCATTCTCATATACTCATCTAGAAAATGGTGACATCAAATTTCCTATTGTTTTCAAATTCCATAGGAATCCTTTTAATTGTCAATTTATTGTTAATAGAACTAAAACACTGTCTATATTTTTTATCTAATAATTTTGCATATGTTTTAAAGTGAAGGTAATTTTATCGATGTTATCTGGGATTGTTAGTTATACCTACTTGTCCAATCCTTTTCTCACGCTCTGCTAGTAGAGTCTGTCTAAAATGGCGGACCTCTTGTAGCGGTCGTGTGTGATTACATGTCACACTTCAATCATTTTCAGCGGAGTTATTTGATGCGTATTTATCTATAATCTAAATCATGTTTTCCAGTTTTGGCCTGCGGGCCATTCTGAAGTCTTCCGTGGGTGTTTTGCGTGAAAGTTCCGGTCTGTACCCCGCGGTGTCAGTCAGACCTTGGAGCTGCTGCGCTTCGGCTCAGTTAGCAGGAGCTGCAGCTAGCAAAGACAAAGGTGGGTAAAATAAATTAAAACCCACATGAAGGGTGATCAGAAAATGGATGGGTGAATGGATGAAGTAAACACTCTTTCAATATCTACCATAAATGTTAGAAAACTGCTGACGGAGCCTTGCTGTCGTTTGTACCGTCACCAGCAGTGAATTATGTCACCTTACTCTACTTTTTTACGGAATATTATTCAGACCGAACACTATAATTATTTTACGAAACATATTATAAAAAAGAATGTACACCCCCTTTCAAGCTCTTGATATTTACACTTCCCATCTCAAAGTGAAATCATCTGGTCTTTGCAGGTTCTAATATCATTTGAATCTGACCTCAGCGCAACTGAAATAGAATAAAACACATTTTGTATGTGGAAAAGTAAGTACACCCCATCTACCTCTGCAGGATTTAGAAGGGAAAGTTGCAGCCAGATGCCACTTTAATATGCAGGTGTTAAACTGGTCATTTGAAAATTCGGTCACCTTTATTAAAGGAAGAGTTTTGGTAGTTTGTTCGTTTTACAAACGCCACCCTTGCTGGTTAGGGAAGTTTTCTTAACTTACCTTCAAACTATTAACAATCTGTACTGTCACAGAATGAGACATTTGCAGCTAAAAGGGGTCCAGTTACTGGTACCAAACAAGGTTTTAACAAGTTCTTGATTCAAATTTAAATGAGTAAATTTGCTAATCCAGAATTAAGGGTTGTTGCCTGAGCCTGCAGCCTGACTACTTTACCAGCTATTCTATAAATAAAACAACAACTTGGATCACAGTTTAAAAGGATTTTATTTCAGACATAAGTACAGTCATAAATAAAGCTGGATATCAAGTCTAAAAACAAATGCCCAAGTTCAGAAATAAAAAACAACAAACCATAGTTTGTTTTATGTTGTTTATCTGTCCTGTTCACAGCCATCGATAGAAACAAAACTTTTACCATCATAAAACTTTAAGAGACTTCTGTTCAAGCACTTAGTGTCTCCACATAGTAAGAAAAGACACATAGGTTAATAAAAATGTTATGAATAAATTCTCTGTAATATCCTAAGAATAGATTATTGAGAAAAAAGAGATCATGAAAACAAAAATGCTATGTGGATAGAAAAAAGTAAATTTTTTGCTATTTTTAAAAAAGTTTTCAAAAGACATGACTAACAACATAGGCTATCTTCACTGCAAATCTTTATCCAACTTCTCACCACATCTTTCATCATTCTCATATCTGTACCATCAAGAGAAGCTTTGCCTTCATTTCCCCCTTTAAATCTGCCTTATTATCATCACACACAACCTGACAAAAGTGGACTTCTTCACTTTTTGGCATGTTACAGCTGCAAAATTCAATGAGTGTTAGGATTTTGTGTTATGGACCATAGGCAAAATTATAAATTGTTTTCCTTCTTCAAATAAAAATTTAATAAGTGCATGCATTTCCCTGCACTGAGCTGATACTTTTTAAAGCTAGGTTTTTTGCTGCATGACACAGAAAGGGAACCTGGGAATCAGTTACACAGTTGGTTGCATTTCTAATGAGAACTAATCAGAATTTCAGGAAGCCACTTCATTGATGATTGTGATGATATAGAAAACCACTATCTTGTCACTATCGGTTGCATGCGTAGTTGTGCTATCTGACATGCAGGATAGACATGTTATGTTGCTTATCTTGGTTATATTCTTAAAGTGTTTTCAGGCAGTTGCACAATTTTATCATGTTGACCAGTTTCTTCATCAAAGAAATCTTGGTCTCAATAATTCAACAAGAAAATATTTATAGTGTTTTGTTTTGTCAAAGTGAGATAATGTAAAACGGTGAAGTCACACAACTGCTGTTTTGTTTGTAGACAGATGCTTCCTCCTGCATGAGAATTGAACTTTTTTCTTTGTCTTTTGGCTTCAGGAATCTTTGCAGTTCAACCACCTGTGAGACATTATGCCCGTGTTGCAAAGACAAAGAAGACAGGTGTGCATTAAGAACCAAGTGTGCATATTTTGGATAAAAGCAAGTCTTCTCATGTGAGTAATTGGTTTCTTCCAGGCCCAGAAAGCCAACTCAGTGATCTTCCTCCAACAATGCTGAAGATGGAATATGCATCTGTCCCACTTGCTCAAACGTAAGACAAAACATTTTGGTTGACCCTGCAAGCTGAGAAAAAAATAGTGTCTTGCAAAAGTATTCAGATATCCTGAACACATTGTATCACCATAATTACAATGTATTTAAATGTAATTTAAATACATTCACAGAATAACGCAATTGTGACATAGAAAGAAAATAAGCTGTGTTTTGCAAAATATTCTACAAATAAAAAAGGCAGAAAGTGTGTATATATATATAATGTCTAATTTTTAGTGAGCCTCTGTTATTTTGACACCCCTTAGTAAAATTAATTGCAACAAATTGCCTTAAACACCTTTTTAGTGATTAGATTCCATCTGTTTTTGATGTTGATTTCATCTCTTTTTAAGGGCTCATTGTAACTTTAAAAAGTAACTCAAGGTCAGGCAGCCTGGATAACAGTGTCCACAACTAACAGTTTTCCCACTGATTGATTCACTCACCTGGGCTATGGATCTCTGCAACTCCTCTAAAGTTACTAGAGAGAGACATCTTTGCTACTGTTTTTGATTGAAGCTCTTTTTACCAGGTCTGTTAGTGTAGGTGCACAGCTATGACTTACTTGGTTTTCATCTGTTTTATCTTCACGTAAGAGACTGAACAGTTCTCTTTAAGATGGAATATTGTTTTATAGCCTAACCCTGCTTTTAATGTTCTCTGATAAATTTCTTAATATTTATACTTAGTTTTTATTGCACTGGTGTTCACTTTTGAGGTCATAATTTGGTTTAGGGGATTTACAGGCTTGCTTTTACCTTTACTTTCAAGTAATTATGTTTAAATGCAGACACATGCAACACTTTTCAGATATAACATTAAAATTATTCTCCTTTAACTGTTATGCTCAGTTGCACAGTTATTCTGTTCTTTGTGCTGGTCCATTGCATAATATCTCAGTAAAATACATTGCAGACTGTAGTTGCAGACCTTTTCACAAAATGGGAAGTCATTCAAAGGATGGCAATACTATTGCAATACATTTGCAACAGAAATATTATGTATTTCTATTTCAGAATGAATTCATGTTAATTAAACATGGTTATATTTGTGTTTACAGGACAGACGATCTTGTTAAACGTCTTCTTTCACTGGAACTGGCAAGTCATGTAAGAACTCATGGTTTAAAATAACACTTACTATGGTTTCAATGGGTGTTTTGTTTTTAAAACTTGGAAGTTTATATGTTATTTACATGCAGTATTTATTAACAATACCTGATGCTACACAGAAAAAAAATGGTTGACATAAATAGTAACTTTTCAGTTCATTTTATTTCAAAACTGAAGTTATATTTCTATTCAGTTTCAGTCAAATTGTCATTTTTTACGGCACTGAGATGTTTTAATGTCTGTCATCTTGGAACAAAACAGCATTTGGTCAGAATGACATTTTCCACAATAATTAGCAGGGATTGTACAGATAAGACGAAAGACAGTGAATTGTAACAGGGGGTTTCCCATTCACTTCACAACTGAATATGTTCAAATAGATGTTGTAATTGGGGAGCTGTGGTGGAGCAGGAGTAAAGCACAACCTACATATGGAGGTCATAGTTCTTGTTACGGCCATCACAGATTTGAGTCCTGCCTTGGTTACCATTGCCACATGTCTTCCACCTCTCTCATTACTCACTTTCTTGTCGATTCACTATCAAATGAAGTCCACTAGAGCAAATAAAACCTTTAAAAAATAGATGTTGTAATGAGCCAAAAAAAAAAAAAAAAAGATGATGATGATGATCAAAGAACCAAACGTTTTATTTTTAGCTTGACTTGGAACTGAATTCTTGATGATCTGAAATACTCTCTGGAATAGACCCATATTAAGCTTTACTCATCTCACCAGCTTCCCTGTTCCCTCTGGAGAAAAGCATGTTTTCCCCCTTGAGGGGATTGCCACCTATTTTAAATTCAGTAATGATTATAGCTGTGTTATCTATGTTCTCAGAAGGAAAAGCTGCAGCTGAAAAAGGAACAACTGATTGCAAAAGTTCAAAGAGATGAGAATGATCGCAATTCAGTCGAAGTCCAGGGTGAGAAGCTGTTAATGTTGCATGTGATGTCTCTATTGAAATTTAAAGATAAGTGCAACCTTATCTTAATCGAATCAGATTTGAATTCCCCTTCTGATGTTTCTCATCGCAGTGGCTGTTTTGACTGCAAGAATTCGAAACTATCAGGACCATTTGCAAAAACACCACAAGGTGAGTGAAATGAAGTCTTCACACCTTGTTTGTTAAACAGTTTTTGCACATTCTTTATGAAAATAAAAAAAGCATGATTTAGAGTCTTGTCTTGACAAGTTTCATGTGTCAGCTTCACCTCATTTTAGCTTCCTTTGGTGTGAAGTGTGTATGTGCTACAGGATTTCCTGTGTACTAAGCCCACATAAAATAAAATGTGTACAAGCACAGCCGCGGTCGGAAGTTTCCATCTTACGTCACACTTAGAACATTTTAATCATTAAAACTGAGGGCAGAGGTTGTGAATTTAAATACCATCTCTGTGACATCAATGAGTTGCATATGTTTTCATAAGCAAAACAAGTGGATGTCATCTCATTTTTAGTTTTTTAGATGGAATTTATGGTTTATTTTAACATGTTGTTTCATGCTAGGACAAAGCCAACAAGAGGCGCATGCTAATGGCCATTGATCGCAGGAAAAAGCTTCTAAAAAACCTCAGATTGGTTCATTTTGACACCTTTGAGAGAGTGTGTGAGCAGCTCGGCATTACCTACACCTTCCCTCCAGAATACTACAGACGGGCCACTCGCCGCTGGCTGGCTAAGAAAGAGTTCTGTATTAAGGTAATAATCAAATAAACTAAATTTTTTGAGCATATTGATATTTTTTATTGTTATTTATGTATTCCACTGTTTGGTTTTGTAATAATTTATTAAGGATTGCATTCCGTCACAGCATAGCATCAATGTTTTTTTTTCACACCCAAACCAACCCTTGTCCTGTGTTTTTTTTTTTTTTTTCAGGTTTTCAAGGCTGTGCAGAAGCAGAAAGCAGAGCAAAATATGAAGCGGCAATTATCCACCACAGAGACAAAGGAAGCCAAGGCACCAGAAGCCCAAACATAATGAAACAAACTAGTCTGTACAGCTGGCTGCTCTCAATACTTGAGGCTTATGTTTGATTGTTTCATCTCAGACTTTTACATTTCATCTTCTTTGTTTCCAACCTAAAGTTCTTTTGTTTGTCTTACAATATCAGCTTATTGGAAATAAAATTTCAAAGAAATCTTTGTTTTTGGCATGTGCAACTCACAACACCAAAGGCTGATTTTGGTTTAGAAAAAAAGACTTACAGTGAATCTAGATTCCTAAAAAAATTTAATTCTGAGAAAACAAAAGTGGGGTTCAATTTAACAAGAAAACCCCAGCCTGCAGATTATGCCTTCTATCTAAGCTTTCAATCACACAGTTTTAACTCAGTCAACAATATTTCACTTTTTCATTCTATAGCAACCTATTTCCTGGTATAAAGTCTGCTTTATGCTATGTTTTGAATCCAAATAACTTTGACACTTCCTTGTCCAGAAGATATGGCTTTAGATTTTGTTTCCCTACATTTTTTAAAATGCAGCTCAACTTAAAGCCTTGTGATTTATAATAAAACATTTAAACCTTTTGCACATATACACATTACAAACTAAAACTTGTAATGTGTATGACTAAACACTCACTCACCAGTTATTTTTCGGGTGGGCAAATAAAGTACGTCATTTGTGAAAAACAAACTTTCCATAAAGGCAATCTCCAACATTCCCAACAAAAACTAGAAGAGTTATTTTTACTGTGTGAAGCTTGTTGAATGAATAGGATATCTAAACTGTTGAAAAAGTTGTTAAAGTGTATAGATTGGCCTAGATATTAAAAGATATGTTGAATGATAAATATAATAAAACAAACATGGGGTGTAAGTGAGTTTGGCACTGTGACTTCTCAGTTTGGTCAGAACTATGTTGGGACAGTCAGGTAGGGAGTGTTGACAGGGATACAGATGTGCAGGCAACATGAGAGTCATTGCTTTTCTAAAGAGCATGTTGGCTTTCCACAGAGATAGGACTGGGTAGGGCTCCCTAAATCTAAGTAACTTCATCCTAGCAACAGAAATGAACTTTCTGTTATAGGTTTTTCCACAAATCTTTTCTGGAAAAAATATATTTAAAAAACTATAGTAAACATGTATTTAATTTTAACATTTTTTTGTTTGTTGACAAGAGTGGAGAACTAACCTTTGTAATGAAAGCTTTTTTATAAATCAAACAATCCAGTTACATTCAGATATGATGTAACAATTTTTGCCCACATGCATGAGCCTTCAGTTTCCTCCAATGAATACCTTCAGACTATGGCATATTACAGAGCCATGTCATGTAAGGTCTCATGTTTTTGCTAATAATCAGATGGGAATTCCAAGGGCGTAACTTCACTATAGTTGTGTAGCTGTCAAACATTATTGGAAGATGATATTTGTCACACTGGTCAAACTCAATAAGTCTAACATGGTTTTTATCAGAGAGATTGTTTTTGGTGGGTCAGGGGAAATCCTTTCTTCCTATTTTCATGGAGCATAAACATGTTAATTGCATAAATTACTTTTTTGGTACAGGTAATCTGTCTCTGTCATTTTTTATGTTCTGCCAGTAGGCAAAAATAAATTCATTCTAATTCATAACCTGTCTACAGTCATAAAATAATTTAAACTGTATTTAGATCTTGAACAACAGCTGAGTTTTCTTCTTGAATAAAATTCACCATTTAAATTGGAGGGCGTTTCATGCATTGAAACTCTAAAATAAGCAACAACAAAAAAAATTGTTTAAATGTATGATTTTATGTGCCTGGATGGCATGACAGATAAATTGTATGATGATACTACAGTGATTCTGCATAGTATTATCTACAGAATCTGGCTTTCAACAGTGTAATAAAAATGATTTAAGTAATGTGACACCAAAAGCTTGTAACTTCAGCCTGCCTCCTGCTGCTGTTTCCTTGTAAATCCTACATCCTTAAATAATGGGCAACTGTGCTACTTTTATTATTTCTTAAAGACGTTTCAACTCTTATCCAAAAGAATTCTTCAGTTCTGAACATTGTTAAAAGTAACAGACATAATTTGAAGTCAGAACAGTCACACTAACGGGGCTAATTCGGAAACTAACGGGGGAAATAAGACGTGAGTTACTAGTGCTACCCTCATTTAACAGAATCCTTACAAATTACGTCATTTGAACACTTTATGTGTGATAAACCGTGTTTGGGTCCTCTATTTAAAAAAAAGGAATTAAAAACTGAAATGTAGCCTCTCCCTCTTGCACCCCTGCAGGTAACTACATGTTGCCGATTGTACTGCATTCCTCATCAAACACCAACTGAAACCAAAACAAACACTTGCCTCAGCTGTCCTCAGGCATGTTAAAGCAGGAAGATAGGCCTACTCAAAGACATCGCCACAGTTATAGACTCTCCCCCCACTGAAAAAGATCAGTGTCTCACTAAACATCTACATCTATACTGTGGTCTCAACAGTTCTCATAAATATATTCATTTATTGAACAGTGCTTTTATGGGGAAAAAATACTTTTAAACTGGGCTCATCTTCTTGTGAGCCACAAAAGCCTTAGAAAAGCATCAGTTGCCGTTAACTGTCCTAGTTTGCATTCCACACAGATCTTTGTCATCATCAGAAAACAGCAGTTTGTTGGCAAACCAGCATTTCACAGCTCATGCTCGTCACAGTTTCCTGTGTGGTGTGAGGCTTGTCAGTTTGATCAAACGGAGTTCAGACTTCTGGTAAGTGACATGTTTGCTCTCTATCAGCAAATTAACTTAACCATCCTCTAGTGATTTAATTAAACTATTTATTCTTGGACTTGCTAATCAATTTGGGACATTTTTGTTTGCAAATTAAAACTTTCATGATGCAATTTAATGTAATTTTATACTTTTTTTTCCTCACTTCCTCGTGGTTGTGCCTCCTAATTATGGTCACATTTACGTGCCTGGTTACAAAAGCATAGTTACTTAAACCAAGGTTAAGGTTATGCGTTCTTCTGAAACTACTGAATATAAAATATACAACAAGATATATTTTAAAGGCATATTTGTCATAAGAAAAAAACGCTGGTTTTCTAGAAGGATTGCCTGAAACTGTTTGTTAAGCCTATATTTGCATAAAAAACGGTGCTAGGCTGTACAATTGTGGAAAAAGCAAATTATTTCTTTACTCAATTGGTCAGTGCTTCTCCACTGCACAGATTAGTTTCTTTGGCATTAAGAAAATATGTGAAAACTTTGTTGAACAACTTCAATTTGTTGAAAGATTAATAAATTCTGATTCCTAAAGACATGGCCTACAACTAACATTTGCTGTATTTTATTGAACAGTAAAATGTTTAACTGGAATAGCTTTCTACAAATAGCCCAACTCTGATGATATGTAAATGTTTCATAAGCATGTTGTGTCTTGTAATGCATGGTGATCGCTTATTTCACCCTTCATTTTTGCAGGGTGAAATAAAACTCTCCTCTCCAGTAGTTCAAATGTCAAACCCAGTGGTCACCAATCAACCTGGTGCAGGAGGCTATGGGACGAATGTCCAGACCGGAGAGTGGAGCACTGGCTTGTGTTCCTGCTTTAGTGACTGCTTAATCTGTGAGTGCAATCATGTCATTTATTTATGTCCTGTGCATATGGTTTATAAGAGTGAGAAAGATATAGTGCTGTCGGTCAAACTGTCTCAATATGTGTTTTCAGGTGCTTTTGGTTGCCTCTGTCCAATTGGTCTAAGCTGCTACACTGCAAATAAGTATGGCGAAAACTGCTGCCTGGGTTGTGTGCCAGGAGGCATGACTGCCATGAGGACTCATATGAGACTGACGTATGGCATCCAGGTACAGAATCAGTCAATTCCTGTCTCATGTGAAGAAAGGGAGATTTCTTGCAAATATGTAGATCTTATGAAAGGCAGAGATTTCACAAGCAAATGAAATACTGTGCTTTCCGTAAGATTTTGAGAACTGAACTTGCATGCATTTCTTCATTCAAGTTCCCTATTGTGAATTTTACTTGTCATTATTTAACCACAGGGGACGGTGTGCAACGACGCCCTCATGACTTTTTTCTGCGGACTTTGTGAACTGTGCAGGATGGCCCGAGAAATTCGCATCAGGAATGGAGACATTTCAATGTAACATGAGGATTTTATAATAAGTGTAATTCTGTTCAGAATACAATTTTTTTTGTATATAGCATGCTTTTACTGAAAACATCTTATGTGCATGTCTAAAATGATTTAAACATTTCACACCCTTGTCATGTTTGTGTAAAATTAGAGAATGACTCAAAATGTACAAGGTATATGAATATTTTATTAAAAATCAAACTGCTTATATGGGTTCCAAAATGTCAAATTAATCCCTTAATGTACAACCACAAGGAAAGAGGCTTAATGAACTGGACAATGATATTATTTCTCCTTTAATAATTCTATGTCAGGAATTTCTATCCCCTGTTCTGAAATATATATGGTCAGCTTAATGTCACTTGATGACAACACTGAAAACAATAATCAATTCTGCGTTTTTTTTTTTTTATATTTTAAAAGCAACATGAACTTGTTTGTATTCGCTTTTAGTTGCTTGTAAACCTTTCTTTTGTTCTCTTGCAAAGTGTTGATAAAGATAAAGTTTGTCTCTGTTTGTTAGTGTGTAGAACACAGATTTGAAATAATGATTAGTTGCAATGTGAATGCAGTTCACTGTCACCTACATCATCTTCAGCCTGTCAATAGGCTTGGGTTCATTGTTGATGTCTGCTGACGAAACCTTTTGGGCCTTTCAGATTAAGGCCTGCAATAAATGGTAAACAGTGCAGATTTGTCATCTGACAGGAAAATAACTCCAGCTCTGGGCTTAGCTGCTTGTTTAAAGAATGTTTTAGATCATGGTGTTTTAAAATCATAATATCAAGCATAGACCATGAAAATTTGCAAGGTAAGTATCTGTATAAAGCTATCTCTTGCTTTGGCCATTAAATTGTGTTCTCTGTTCACATACATTATTACTTTAATAACATTTTATAATCTCCATGCTATAGTTGCACAAAAATTTAATTAATATTTTATTATATATAGAATTGGATAAAAAAGTATTTCTCACTTACAGATGTCTTAGTATTTTCTTTTTTAGTCTCAGAATCATAGAACTCAATTAAATATGTCAAAATAACCAGAGAAAATTCGAAAAGCATTGTTAAAAGTAGAACTTTTGCCAATAGAAAGCAAATACTTAGAGAGTATTTGCTCTCTAAGTATTTGTAGAGAGCAAATACTTTCAAAATCAGATTCCTTATAAAAACCATCATTAAATCAAATTGGACTATTGCTAGTCCATTACTTAACTTGCATATAATCAATCACATCGTTACAACCTGACAAATTCAGGCAGAAGAACTAGACAATTCCAAATCTAAGTTTTCCACAACATAAACCCTTTGAAGTCAGTACTTGTAGTAGCTAATCTACTTTAGAACATTGAAAACACTTCCAATGACAAAATCTACTGTTTACTGTATGTTCATATGACCTCCAAATGACACAAATTCAGAAGATTTTACTTCTGGCTTTATTGGGTCTTCATATGCCAAGTCTCTATGGCTTATAATTTCTTTATGTTAACAGCAGCTTTCTCTTTACCAGGTTTGAATGCCTGGCAAAGTTTAGTCATGTCTTCTAATTTTCCCATCTGAGCCGAAAGTCATTTTACTTCTACTTGCAGGAATTCTGGAGTTACCAGTAGAAATGCACTGTGAGACATTCAAAGCTTGAGACATAGTTTAAGACCCAGCCCTGATGTAAACTTCTTTACAAGCCTATCATTGAAATATCTGGTGCAGTTTTTGGTCTTTATTGTGCTGTTTGTTCACTGATGTTCTCTCATAAACCTCGAGGGTTTCAGAGAAACGTTGTATTCATACTCAAGATTAAATCGCACACAGATGGGCTCTATTTAACGATTAGACTAGACCTGGAAGCAATTGGGTTCACAGGATTTTGTTTAGAAATTTAAGAGTAAAGAGGGCTTAATAATGGAAACAAATGTCTCACTTTTATTTTGTGACGTTTTCTGCGTACTAATGTTCAGTACTTGGATGATAAGATACAAATACAACGTATGTAGTTTGTAATGTAACTTGTCTGTATTTAATTTTTGGAAACGCATTCAGTTGAGTTTATTTGATATTTTGAATAGCATCATAAATAAATAAATTTACATGATTTTGTAATATTCTAATTACCTCTACTATAAGCAAAGGGTATGCTGACTTTTCTTTCCCACTAAAGTCGCATCAAAAATATTATTTCTCCCTCTTGGTTCAACGAGGGTCATACGCATACGCGCTTTCGTCACTGCTTTGTGATTGGCTCTTTTGTTCGTGGCCTGGCAACCAGAAGCGGCTTTACCAAACACACAGACCCTTTCATAGCAACTAGTTAGAGGTGTCCTGCAATTAGCTTGATAGGAAGATTCAAGACGTCAAATTCAAACATGTCTACGAGGACTCTACCGCTGCTTTTTATCAACCTCGGCGGAGAAATGCTGTACATCCTGGACCAGCGGCTTCGAGCTCAGAATATACCCGCTGACAAAGCTAAGAAAGGTAGCGAGCTTAGCAGCTATTCAGCTAACAACACAAATGTCACTGTGCTCCAATAAAACGCAGATGATGCAGTAAGAGGAGGTCATTTGCCTGTTCATCAAATGGTCAGTGTGCCTTTAAATTGAGGTGATACAAAAAATATATATATTTATTTATATATATATAGATAGATAGATTATCAGACAGTAAGCAGTTAACATTATAGAATCAAATAGTTGGATTAGTTTGCTCCCCCTTAGAGTAACTTTTAAGAAGTGGGGGGTTCAGAACAGATTTTACTGTCCTCTGTTGCCTATAACTAAATGTTGTTACATAATGTCAGCGGAATTATACTTCATTAGAGATAATTGAAATTCTATTTTTAAAATCATAAAGTTTTTTAATGCATTTTCTCTTGATTCATAAAGTTTCCACTGTACCTGCCTGGATAGAGGAAGACAGAAAGAGAGGTATTCAGTGTAAAAATGCACTTCTGCATTAGATGCTCTGCTCTGCTTTGGCGTCGCTGAACTATATGCGTTATTTAAACTACAGAATGTGCGGAACAAGAAATGTGCATCATAATAAGTCAAAATATCATCAAAAATGGATTTATTTCAGTAGTTAGACTCAGAAATGGGAACTTGTTCATTACACACAGAGATATATTTTTTCAAATTTTTAGAAAAACAGAATTAAATTCAATAAAAAAGAAACTTGAAATAAATCACACTGTGTGCAAAGAATCTTTAGAAGAGCTTCAGTTTTTGAATTAAATTACTGAAATAGATTGTTGTCTCATTTATATTGTAATTTATTAAATGCACCTACAACAAAGACCTGAAAAAGAAGTTGTTCAGAAATTCCCAGTGATTATTAGTCACATAAGTTACTGAGTTACACAAATTGCATGCTTGGTACAAACTTAACATTGTATGAGCTTGCAATGTGTAGCTACAAAAGTGTTTTATCCTATCACTGTAATTTAAAGTGTTTATAAGTTACAAAGTTCCACATTGCCTTTTAGATTCCAATTTACTACATAAAGCAATGTATTTGTTTAATCCAAAAATTACTCCTTTTGCTTTCTGCGGATGTCGTGGTGGTTGTGTCTTCCTTTGTTTTCAGCAGGACAACGCATGGGCTGATATCAGATTCTCATGAAGACCTTGATTAATAATCCCACAGTATCCAAATATTTACACAAAATTAAACTGTTTAATAGAATATAATTTGTTTATCACTGTACAAATGTACAATGAGATTAAAGTCAGTGCAATAAAGTTATATATATATATATATATATATATATATATATATATATATATATATATATATATATATATATATATATATATATATATATATATATATACATATATATATATATATATATATATATATATATATATATATATATATATATATATATATATATATATATATATATATATATATATATATATATATATAAAACCAAAGTATAATTAGTGTATGTGAGCATTCAGAGTGTTGATTGCTTTTGATAAATACATAAATCATCTAACATAACAGTTATTCCTACTAATGTCAAAACAATATAACATTGATACAGTTCTTGAAATCCTAGGTCAATTGTCATTTTGATTTTTTTATGTCCATAAATTTAAGTAAATATATAGATCTAGACATCGACTGAATTTAGTTATCATTAGTGCTTACTGCGCATAAAATTATGCCTTTTTTCATCTCTTCATGTAGTAACAGAAGTTTAACAAACAGATATCATCTGCTCAGCCAAGCAGCCTGCTTTCAAGTGCATAACAGATTGCAGCTCACCACCATATGTTTCAAAACAGCTTTACTGCAATAAGTGTGATGCAGGCTGCTGCTTTAGTTGCACCCCATAAGTGTCTGGTGAAACTAAATGACTGATCATGCTTTTCATGATCAGTCACAATTCCAAACAGCCAAATCTGTCATCGTTGTAAGCGAGGGAAGACAGTTGGATGCTTTTGTTTCCAACTTACCAGCATAGTGGAGGTTTTTCACTCCTTTACCTAATGCTCCACGCAGTCAGCATTTGTTATTCCAGTACCTTCTCTGAAGACAGCAGATTAACCTCAACATCTGAGGGGGGAAAGGAGCTAAAATCAAAGACAACGTAACAACAGACATACATGACACCAAACAGTTATAATGCTGCTGCTTTCTTAGGTCCTGCAGGATAAAATCATATCGACCAACCTTTAGCTTTAGCGTGCAAAAATGCCTGCTTCTCTGCTTCCACTGTTGAAAGTTCTCTCCAAAATGTGTTTATACTGTTTGAACTTTCTGTTGTATTTCTTTGCCTGATCAGTTATGAATGACATCATCACCACCATGTTCAACAAAAAGTTTCTGGAAGAGCTTTTTAAGCCACAGGAGCTTTATTCCAAGAAGGCTCTACGAACTGTGTTCGACAGACTGGCCCATGCGTCCATCATGAGACTCAATCAAGCTAGCATGGACAAGGTAATACTTTCCTGTATGGTTATGTTTATTCATGGATGACCTGGAAATTAATCATATTAATCTAATTTACAATAATGATAACATGTAGTGCTAATACTCATGCACCTTGAGCCTTCATGTTTTTTCTTTACATCTACAAACTTCAACATATTTTCTTGTAAATGTATATGGTAAATCAAATTGAATTAGATCATGATCATAATTTGGAGAAAAAAAAATATCAATGGTTTCCAGGCTTATCAGAGATGTTTTGCAGGTA